AAAAATATTTTTGTAAATAAAATTATAAAATATACATTAAAATAAAGATTTTTTGAATTGTATCAAATTATATATTCAAATCAGTTCGAATCAAATCAAATCAAATCAAATCAAATCAAAGTACAATTCGATTCAATTCAAATTCGATTTGAATGAAATGAGTCAAAAATTAAGTGATTCGATTCAATTCGAATTTGAATTGGTTTGAATTGGTTTGAATTTCATTGATTCGTTCAGAGCCTTAATCAGCACACATCGATACAACAATACTACATTAATATGATTTTTTGGTAACTGGAAATGCAGAACTTCTCTATACAGATATAATCCTTTATATGGCACAGTCATTTCATAGACAAATGCAGTATGATCTATAATTATTTTAAGAATTAATAACAAAGAATAAAGATGCAATAAAAACTATCATCCATACTGAAAATATTTACTATAAATTTGTAAGCCATATAGTTTCAGTAAACTTAAACTATCACCAATACCACCATACATTTGCACTATCCTATCCAACATTACTTTTAACATTTTGGCAATCTTGAGCTTATCTCCAAAAAAGTGTGGATGTTGGTGCTGGTTAGGAGGACCACTAACTTCACCAATAGCAAATTCAAGCTTTGGCATTGTTGTCCAAATAATATCAATTTTTTGTCCACTACTGCATTCCTCTTCATCACTTTTTGTTAGATCATAATCTTCTGCAGATGCAAACAAGGATATCTCACCACTTAATAGATTAAAATTTTTATTAAGATGATAACCTTTTAAAGATAAGCAAATCTAGAATGCATGCTGTTTGTCACTTACAAAGAGACATCCATATCTTTATGTGTTTTTTGAAATAAGCTTCGCATTAATGGTGCTAAAAAGACTTCATGATTATACATGAAGTCAAAATTAAAACCCCAAAGTTGAAATGTTTTGACTTGAGGAAACTACATAGTAAAAATCAGTTTCGACCTTATTTCAACCCTATTTCGACCAGATCTGCAAATGGTTGAAATATTTTTGACTTCATGTATATTCATGATACATTCATTCTGATAAATTTTCATTAAGAAGATCATTTCCACAGTCAAAGGAATTGGCACTATTAAAAAAGAAAACAAACCATTAGTCATAGAAAGCTATATATTGTATTGTGAGCATGCAATCCGAGTTACCTAATAAAATAGGTTATTTAGCTCAACACACAGCCTCCTCGCTGATTTATGGTTGATTCTATTGTTTGACACACAGCCTACTTGCTGACTTACAGTCAAAAATTAATGAAATATAACTTTTATCTTTTAGATAAAAAGTTCCCTAGGTTCTATATATATATTATATCCCAAAGGCGTCCCCTTGAGATGTCTCTCAATGATTAAAATGTTGGTTATCTGCTATGGGCAGCAAAGGTTCCCCCTTTGTAGTGTATTAATTATTTAGGTATTATTATTTAAAGGTAAAGTATGTTATGTGTTTTTATTAGTGATAATAATATTATTACAATGTTTTTGAAATATTAATTATTAGATCAATAATTAGAAGATTGTTATGAACATCCTTCTGACTTGGTCTAAAACCAAGTCACCTCTTGGGGTATTACAAATAACATGACTTTTACTCTAGTTTGTCCAATAAACTATGCTTATTAATATAAAATAAA